CGAAGGGTTTGGATCTCTGGAAGTTATTCAAGGGTAAACAAAATTGCATCATCAAGATTTTAAAAATAAAATAAAATAAAACACTTAGTTGGACTAGACTAAATGGTTCTTGTGGTTGGTCTAGAACCTAGTTTGACTCAATAAGCCAACCCGATATGGTCTATCTAAGTTCATTGTTAGGCTCATTTTTTCTTAAACTAGGTTGGTCTAGGTCTTGTCAGGTTAGACTGGGCTATAGCAAATCACTAGGTTATTGTACAACCCTACAAGAGACTATTTCATGGAAAATTAGAAAGAAATATCCAAGAACATTTCTCTCTCTAGAAGAATTAAGGGACCATGTTTTAGGCATAGATAATGTGACACTTGCATCGAGTGTTATCAAAAAATCATACAATTCAAATAATCTAAGTGTGGTTAAGGAGTTAATCCTAAAACAAATTTAAGAAACAAATCATTTAAATCATTAAACAGACACATGATTGTAAAATAAATATTTAAAACTTTTTAAAAAAAATTATAGGTTTTACCTATAGTGCATGGAAGCAAGTTAGGCGAAAGCGGGGTAAAAAATTGCTGTCAATGCTATCATGACAGCATTGACAACCCTCTCGGGCCAATTTCCGAGGGTTCACTAGGGTGAGGGCAGGCCTTCAGGCTCGAAGAGAATTTATAGAGTTATTTACACATCACCCCCCAACAAGGTATTTATAAGTTTTATATGATTGTACACAATCAATTATCTAATAACATTTCTCTCAAATAATAAAATTAGCAAATTATTTTCAAAAAATAAGGATAATAAAAGTTAAAAATGAAAATTCAAATACTACAATTTATGTATATATCTATATATTTCTTTAAAAAAAAATTCTCTCGCCCACCTTTGATTCTAATTTCAGGGCCAATTCAAATACAAAATAATGGAGATAGCTTGAAAATATAGTTATATTTAGAAATTGTCTTTTTTTTTTCATGCCATCTATAAAATTCTTATGAGTGAAGAGCTATCAATTGGATAAATTGATTGCACATTTTAAGATCACTCGTCATATATTTGATTTATTTAAGTGGCAGATCCACATATGATATAGCTTGAACTTGTTCTTTCGGTATTTTATACCAATGATTAATTTTTGTTCAAAAATAAAGCCCAATATATGCCATACTGCCACTCTAATCATTCTATAAAGCCCAATCAAAAGTTGGTTCCGTAACCGCTTATTCCTCTTAATTGAAATTCTAATGATGTTTATAGACAATAACAGCAGAATGGAATGACATATATATATATATATATATATATATGTAGATTAAGTATTTTAAAGTATATAACATTTTCATATATCCAACCATCTAATTTAGACTTATATATTTTCGGTTACATAAGTAATAGCATTTTGACGAAACATATTAGCATCTCAGTTCATAATTTCAAGTTGCAAAAGACAAGACGTAAGAAAAAGAAACGATCTATAGCGAATTAAAATTTCCGTAAAAATTATACCTGGTAAATTATTGGAACCAAGATCTAATTCCTGAAGCGAAATCAAGCTTCCAATGCTTCTTGGTATGTAGTCAAAGAGTTGATTTTGACCCAAATATATGATTCTAAGATTTGTAAGATTGGCAATTTCATTGGGAATATCTCCTGTGTGATCACATTAACAAAAAAAAAAAAAAAAAGCACTGATATGAGTACTTGTGTATAGATTATAGAAAATCATAGAAATATAATCTAACTTTATGGACATGATCATGGACAACATGTAGTATATAGATAGAAATCATATAAATTTAAAGACCATTAAAAAAATCTCTTGCATTATGCGCTGGCTCCAAGAACCCAAATGAAAAGGACAAAAAACTAATAACAGCATGAAAAATAGTTGTTCCTGACGGTGAAGGGAAAACTGAATGATGTTAATAATACATTATGTTGTGTTGAAAGCATGGTAATGAAGTATCACAAAAAAATTAAAACTATATACAATTTATAGTTTCATTTATCATTCCTAATCAACATAATCAATATATATATGTTCTTCCCTCTCCAACAAAATCAAGGTTGAGTAAGAGATTGAATATAACTTATCCCAAGACTCACTAACATGAACAAAAATATTTGAAATGATTTGGGAAAAAATATGAATTTACCCGATATAATGAAAGACATACCTATTAAAGAGTTGTATGACAAAGACATAAGCTCAAGTGAGGATAAGCCAGAAATAGTTGGAGGTATTTTTCCTAAAAGATTGTTCCCTGCTATGCGTAAAATCTTCAAGTGCTGAAGCCTTCCAATAGCAAGTGGAATAGATCCATGGATATATTCTCATTCCAATCCAACATCTCTAACCATGACAAATTTGATTCACTTGGAGGAATAACATCTTTAAAACTATTATTATGAAAAATCATTTGCTGAAGAGAAAATAGACTTCCAATCCAAGCTGGAATTTTCCCATGAAATTCATTAGAGCTCAAATTGAGAATTTTCAACTTATGTAACTGCAGCAACTCCTTTGGTAACTCACCATGAAAGTTGTTACTAGGAAGGTCAAGTTCAACAAGGGAGGACAAATTGCCCACTTGTGAAGGTAAGGTACCCTTGAGACTTGTGTCAGCAAGATTCAATACACTTACTCTCTCACCGTTAGCATCACAAGTAACCCCAACCCAATTGCAAATAAAAGAAGAGCTGGACCAATTAGCCAAGTGTATTGAATGGGTCTCTGTCATAGTTATGCAAATATGATAGGTAATCGATAATATTGATTAAAAGCACAGTATCAATTATTACAAAAGGGATATACTAGCAGGAAGGGGAAAAGTAATAACATAATTGTCAGAGAATTCAGAGAAAGGACAGAAGAATTCAGAGGGAAAACATTCACGAAAAATATCCACACTCTCTCCCCTCTATGTGTGTTCTATATATCCTCCAGCTCATGTAATTTCCATGTTGGTCTTTTTACCCGCGTACTCTTACATATGGACTCCTTAGCTATAGGTCCATAACTCTTTCGGTCCATTGTGATGTCTGGCCCGCTAGAGGTAGATCCAGGTGATATTGTGACAATACCCGCCTCACAAAGACGGACCTTGGCCTCAAGGTCCGCATCAGGATACAAAGCAAGTAACACTTCAAAGGATTCCCATGATGGAAATGACGTACCCGACCATTAAACTAGCACCTGTGAGTCCACCTTTCCAGCACGATGCACTGAACGAACGTCGAGTATAGCTTGTGGTTGAACAATAGGGCCCTTGAGGCAAGACCTCAGGGGTAATGGCAGAGTGGGTTGCGAACCATCTCTAAAGCACCTTTTCAACAAGGAGACATGAAAAACAGAGTAAATATGAGCATCTGGTGGCAACTCAAGGCGATAGGCAACATGACCGATCTTTTCAAGGACTTTAAAAGGTCCGAAATAGCGCATTGCCAGCTTTTAAAACTTTCGTAGGTGAACCGAATGTTGCTGGTAAGGTTGAAGCTTCACAAACACTAATTCGCTGATGTCAAAAGACTCCTTCATACGTTTCTGGTCAACAAAATGTTTCATTTGGTCTTGAACCTTCTGCAAATGAGTTTAAAGGTCCGATAAAACTTCATCACGAGCTGTTAGTTAAGCATGCACATCATACAGGGTATCTTCTCGTGATGCATGGCGAAGCAAAGGAGGAGGGTCCCGACCATAGACAATCTTGAAGGGGGTGGTGCCGAGGGAATGGTGGTAAGCCGTGTTGTACCAATATTCTGCTAATGGCAAGAAATCAATCCATCGACGTGGATGATCTGATACATAACAGCGCAGGTACATTTCTAAGCAGCGATTCATAGCCTCAGTTTGGCCGTCGCTTTATGGATGGTAGGAAGAACTCATTTGTAATTGTGATCCTTGAAGGCGTGAGAGATGACGCCAAAAGGCACTAGTGAAAACCTGATCACGATCAGAGACTATCGAACGTGGCAAGCCATGGAGCTTCACAACATGGTGAAGAAAAGCGTCCGCAACCATATGACTAGTGTATTGTGTCTTTAATGGTATAAAATAACTGTACTTTGACAATCAATCGACAACAACATAAATAACAGAATACCCATGCACTAGAGGAAGGCCCGTAATAAAGTCCATAAATATGTCTTCCCAAATGCGAGCAGGGATCGGCAAAGGCTGCAATAAGCCGAAAGGGTGAAGTTGTGAAACCCTTGCTTACTGACAAATTTGGCAATGTTTCACATATGCTCGAACATCACGACGCATATCCGCCCAGTAAAATAGAGAGGCCAACCGCTGAAAAGTTCTCAAATAACTAGCATGACCCCCGATAACCGAATCATGAAATTCAAACAATACACATTGTATAATAGCTGAGTCATCGTGTGGTAGGACCAATCGTTGATGTCAGAACACATGGCCATTGCGTAAGTCAAAACCAGGAAGGGTCGAAGAATCATTTTCCAACTTCTGTCGCATCTGTTGAATAGTAGCCGAAGCTCGTACACTTTGATAGACTTCCTCCATGAATGATGAGTGAATTATGGTTATAGTCATCAATGTAACGTGAGACAAAGCATCAATAGCTGTGTTAAAGGCTCCTGGCTTATACTCGATAAAGAATTGATATCCGAGAAGTTTAGGCAAACACGCCTCTTGCTCTGGAGTTTGCATTCTTTGTTCATTCAGATGCTTTAAACTTGCATGATCAGTTTTAATGATGAAGTGATGACCAAAGAGATAATGTCTGAATTTAGCTACGGACTCGACAATAGCATATAGCTCTCAGTTATATACCGACTAGGATTGCATGCGATTGGATAGCTTCTTGGAAAAATAAGCAATCGGATGGCCATGTTGACTAAGGATGGCACCAATATCGATGCTCGAAGCATCTGTCTCTAGAACAAAAGGTTGGTTGAAGTTTGGTAATGCTAAAATAGGGGCACATATTAGAGCTGACTTCAAGGCTTCAAAAGCTTCTTGTGCCTCTATTTTCTACTGGAAGCTATCTTTCTTGAGTAACTGTGTCAAGGGTCTAGCTAAACGAGCATAATGACGGATAAACCGCCTGTAATAGCTGGTCAAACCAAGAAAACCCCCAAGTTGGGTGATCGACGTTGGTATAGGCCAATCTCGCACCAGCTGTACCTTGCTCTGGTCCACTTCCATGCCATCCTTCGAAACAATGTGCCCCAGGTAATCAATCTTCTTTTGGCCGAATGAACATTTAGAGAATTTTACATGCAACCTTTGTTGAGATAGAACATGTAAAGCAGTCGTTACATGGTTTAGATGTTGCTCCCATGTCGTACTATAAATGAGAATATCATCAAAAAAGATCAGAATAAATTTTCTAAGACAAGGCTGAAAGACAGAATTCATGAGAGCCTGGAAAGTGGCTGGTGCAGTAGTTAGGCCAAATGGCATCATAGTCCACTCATATAAACCTTAATATATGTGAAATGCTGTCTTCTCACGGTCTGTTAGGTTCATTGAGATTTGATGATACCCGGCTCTCAGGTCTAGTTTTGTAAAGAATTCTGAACTATACAGCTCATCAAGGAGCTCATCTACAGTAGGCATCGGAAAAGCATCTTTAATGGTTACTGCATTAAGTGCTCGATAGTCCACAAGAAGCACCATGTGCAGTCTTTCTTACGCACCAATATCACTGGTGCAGAGAAAGGACTATTGCTCGGCTGAATGTAGCCTTTAGCTAATAATTCTTGCACTAATTTCTCAATCTCCATTTTTTGACTAAAGGGATAATGGTATGGCCGAACCTTAACAGGCTCAATACCAGGTTGTAATATAATGCAGTGCACATGATCTCTAGCAGGAGGTAATCCTTGTGGCTTGGCAAAGACTATACCATATTGATGTAATACAGCCTTCAGATCATTTGGTAACTGTGTAGGCACTTCGATATTAGATCCTTCCAATAACTTGTTAGAAGTTTCTTCACTCTGTAACATGAATAACTCAGAAATTGCATCAGTATTATGAATTCGAATCAAATGGTGAAATTGGGTATTAGAGACAGGTGCAGCTTTGTAACCATTTAAAGTGACAAAGTTGCTTCCTTGTAAGAATCTAATCATTGACATACTATAGTCGGCCACGTGGGGACCCAATGTCTCTAACCATGATGCACCAATCACTACATCAGCACCTGCTACAGGAAGCACGTAAGCAGGGAAAGAAATGGTATGCCCACTGATGTACACCTGCAAGTCAGCTACCATAGAGTTGCATTTCATCAATTGACCAGTCCCCACCAAGACCTGAAATGTGGGTACTACCTTTGAAGGTAATTGAAGGTGTTGCATAACGCGAGGGTAGACATAGTTGTCTGAGCTACCCCCGTCTAAGAGAACTTGTACATCCATCCCATTAATAATGCCATTGAAACGGATGGTGGCTATACCCGACGAACCTTGTGTCGTACATAATGATAGATGGTGCAGTGTATGAATCTCCTCACTTGCCTCTCCAGGTTCTTCCTCATTATCATCCTCTAGTCCATAGTCCGTCAGTAACATCATGAGTTGCTTCTTCCCACACCGATGGGATGGAGAAAACTTCTCATCACAAAAATAGCATAAGCCCTTTTCGCGTCGAATCTGCATTTTGGCTGGAGTGATCTTCCTTATGGGTGGTTTGTCTGGCAATGGTAATAATGGTAGAAGTATATTTTTACTTCCTGTCGTAGGTGGTACTGTCGTCTTTGGAATTGCTGCAATGACAGTCGAGGATAACTTGGTTCCCCCCGTTGGAGATGGAGAGAATGTTGCTCTAAGCCATGCTGGTGAGGAGACATGAGAATCTCGCCCAGCATACAAACGCCCTAATGCAATTGCCTTCAATAATGTGTTGGGTGCTTGAGCCACCACATCCTGTCGCAGTTCTACTCTAAGGCCTCCTATAAAGCAATCAATCAAGGCACCTTCTGTTATATCCTCTGAACGATTTGCTAATGCCACGAATTGCCGTGTATATTCTTCATAAGAATCTTGCCTATCTAGATGGTTGATATTGAGACCCAATCAATGGCCGCTCGGGTGTCTTGTTTCCAGATTGATAACCCTCCTCTGAGTGCGATGATTCAGCTCGGCGATTGAAGTTGTCTACCGACCTCGCCAGTGATTCTAGCAAGCCTTCAATCTTACTGAAACGTCTAGAGGCATCTTTCATCCAATCTTGCGTCATCTTCATCTCAGCTTGCAGTTCCTTCATTCCAGTGTTGTCGACAACGGCCATGGACGTCTCTCAATGAGAGCACCAAAATATGTCACAGTTATGCAAATATGATAGGTAATCGATAATATTGATTAAAAGCACAGTATCAATTATTACAGAAGGGATATACCAGCAGGAAGGGGAAAAGTAATAACAGAATTGTCAGAGAATTCAGAGAAAGGACAGAAGAATTCAGAGGGAAAACATTCACGAAAAATATCCACACTCTCTCCCCTCTATGTGCGTTCTATATATCCTCCAGCTCATGTAATTTCCATGTTGGTCTTTTCACCCGCGTACTCTTGCGTATGGGCTCCTTAGCTATAGGTCCATAACTCTTTCGGTCCATTGTGACGTCTGGCCCGCTAGAGGTAGATCTAGGCGATGTTATGACAGTCTCCCATAGAACTTTTGAAAACAAGAAGTGCTAATTCATCGTTTTTGGTGACATTGGTTTGACATAAAGTTGGGGAGATGATGAGATAGCAAAGTATTGAGAACATGGAGAAGGAAAAATGAAACCAAAGGTTGGCCATGTTGGATTGATTTAAGGCTTATAAGATTGACGAGAACGATGAAGAAGGTCATGCTATATATATATATATATATATGCCTCAAGGTTGATAAGCACTGCTCATAATGATAATAAAAGCCGAATAAAATGTGAACCTAATAAAAGCATTTATATTTTGTGGTGGGAAAAAAGTGTACTATTTGAATTCTTCTCAAGATAATTAAACAATGTGCCAACTAATCAAATTCTAACAAAGAAACAATATTGTGCCATCTTTTCCATGGTGCGGTGGGTATTCGAGTTGACTTGGTTTGACCAAGAAAAACATATAGACAAATAAAAAAAATTTGTCACAATCCATATGACTTAGCTTGTTTTTCTCTTGAGAAGAGAGACAAGATAATATCTGCCTTACGTGCTAAGTGAGAATGGAAATAAAATAGAAAGAGGATGAAGAGGATCTGTTTCATCATCGAGCTTTTGGTTTGATAGTAGAGATATGTTGGACCTACAACTAAGACGACGCGAAGATAAGAAATGGCAAAGCGAATAGGTTTGGCTATCGAAAAAATAAAATGAAGGAGGGCTGGCCTGCTAGGGAAGACGAAGAGGTTCACATCGGTTCCTTTCATCACAATAGGTGTGAAAAATCAATCAGATTTCTTATTATTTACCAAAATGTCACCGCCTCTTCTTTTTACACTTGTTTCTTTTTAACCGGCATGAAATGTTAATATAAGATCATATATTTGTAGTAGTATTCACTGAACCTCAATATTCTGAATACTATTATTATTGTGCCATTTTAACATGCATATGGATTTATTGGCTTAAAAAATTTCACCGTTGGTGAGTTGTGAAAATACTCAGCACAACCTCATTGATAGAACATAATAATTTTGCTATCAATGAAATAACTTTAATATACATTCATGGCGTACTTACCTTCAAGCTAGATAAAATCATGTTTAGTCAAAAAATAATCTATAATTCATTTTTTTGATAAAATCTATAATTCATTTTTAAATCAACTATATAGTTTATTTGCAAGAGAAATAAATTGGGGAAATGACATTAAAAGAACCAACAGCTTCAATTAAACTTAAACAAGGACCAAAAGATTTGGAAATGAAAAATAAGGACAAAAGATCCTTTAGTAAGTTGGTCTAAAAATTTGCTACTTTCATCCCCATAATTTGCAATCATCAGAACAAGAATTAGATAATAAAATGTGCTACTTTCATCCCCATAATTTGCAATCATCAGAACAAGAATTAGATAATAAAATTTGCTAATTTAAACAACTTCCAAGTAATGAAGTACAAATATTTTAATTAATAAGATATTAAAAATACAACATTTTTAATTACTTACCAGTGTTTTTGCTATCAACGATATAATTCAATACTAACCTAGTAGGTAGCCGGTTAATATGGATGGTTAAAATGATATTTTAGTATTTTACATAAGTAAAAAATAACATTGGTCTTTTGTAATTTAGTTGTAATTTAGAAGATTTAATTGATATTAATTGCAATAGGATGCTTGTTTGTAATCTTTTGAATATTTTTTTAATAATTTTTTAAAATATTCAAATTAATTAATGGTCAAAGTTAACCTTTGTTAATAATAGGGACAACATTGCACTAATTTTATATGTTGAATAGGACATTGCACCACAAAAAAGTTAGAATATCATCATCATATACTCCTGGGTGAATAGTTGATAGTTAAAAATATGATTTAATCCAATAAAAAAATAAATTTGATAGGGAGCTATTAATGGAAGGAAAAATGTTATTTTATTTTATAATATATATATATATATATACACGGACTTATGATATAATTACAAAACGAATTCCATAAAACATAGCCCAAGAAAATTACGTACCAGGCTTAAAAAGGATTTCAAAAAATTTATTTAATTTGTCGATCTTAAATAAAAAATATTTTTAAGTCTATACCAAAAATATAATTCAAAAAATAACAGCTAGACATATCATAAGATAAACAATTTGTTCATTATTAGGGACATAGATATTTTTCCTTTATATTTATCACTGATTGGATCTAATGAGCTCCACTCACCCATGGGGTGTCGGTATTTTCATTTTCCCATGAAAAGATAGTCCCAAGAAGAAAATTTGAAAAATATGTGAGAAATTCCGAATGAAGCTTAATGTGCATAATTACCACTTGAAAGTAGAACCATTTTTTCAAGCGAAAATTCCTTTGAGTGAATTCCATGAGAAATTGTTGAAAAACTGGGAAAAAAAGTATTAAGAAAAAAAATATATGAACATTTTGGATTAAGTGTACTATCTTCTCTTCGGTTAGCTTAAAGACATCAATATGCATCTCCCCACCTTGGTTCTCTTCCCACTTCCAATAAAATCATAAGAAAAATTAAATTGTTTGTTTCAATCTTTTTATCAAGTTTTGAAATAGGCCTTTATAGTTTATACTTTTAGAAACAACTCCATGAAGTTTGTATGGTCAAATATGTTAGTCGCTTAAAGTGCACTTTTCACTTCAGTCTTTCTTACTTCCCTTATTAACTGACAAAAAAAGTTCAAAATAACCAATATAAAAAGTTCTTCCTACAGTAGTGTATGTTTTTTTTTTTTTCAGGCACACAAATTATTAGTTAAAAAATTGACTTGTAAAATGGTATGTGTAAAATTGTATAATAATAATAATAATAATCTCACGTTATTTTGATCAAAACTACATTTTGACCAAATCCAACTAAACAAACAGATACCATTTCATTTCTTTGTTATTATGAGAGCCTTTGGTTTTACAAACCAATAAATGGGCTTAGCTGTAATGTCCCTAGAGAAAGTGATTGGAATTAGGTTAATTAACATTATATGAATGTAATGATGAAGCGTACAAGAAACTCTTTACCTGCATTTACAATGTTGGAGAAGATATTGGCGCATTTAATTATCAACTTGTTGGAGAAGATAAAGACCACATATTATTGCCCCGCTTCCTCTATGCCAAGGACATATGAGTTTACTTGACTTGGAAATGCAACACTCTTTGATTATAAAATCAAATTTATTCTACAATAAAGATATATGGATTGTCTTGACTAGGAAAAATTATGTATAAAATATGAATTTTCACCATTCATGACTTCTTTTTCTCTTTGGCGATATTAATGACCTATGTTAAAGAAAAAAAAAAAAAAAAGAAAACACCCAAATTCATAGAACCTCCACATTATCAATGAAATGACTAAAACAAATATATAAATTATTTTTATTCCATTCACCTATAATTGTGCAATCTTCTTTACACAATGACTATATGAATACACTAAAAAAAAGATAACTACCATTTATAATTTTTTCTCTTAAAACAAAATAGATGGGAGGTCGGTCATCAATGTATCTTAAAGATAAATTCAAATATAATTACAAATAGGACTTTACAATATAGCGTGGAACAACTTTGATTGAATTTGAAATAAGATATAACAGCGCTTATACCTATTGATATCAATAACAAGTCCTAGGAATTGAATTAAGAATAATAATAATACTAATAACAACAATAGAAAAGTGACAAATATAAGAGAGTTGTGAACTTAGTCTATAGCGTCGAATCTATACCTAATCAATTATGAATTAATGATAATTAATGGATGAATGTGAAAAGGAAAATTAATTATCTGGTCAGTAAAGGATAATTAATTGATCATGCTAATAAAACATAATTTCAGAATTTTTTGGCAAAGTATTTTCAGAATATTATTAATTAAAATATTATTACCTGAATTTTTCTTGGCCAATGATAAAATAATTTATTTTTGGGTAATTTGTATGTAAAATAATTAACATTCACCTTACCTCATCAGTAATAACATAAAATATTATTTTCAAGGAAGACTATATTATTGTGCCCCTTTCTACATGCTAGTAGCGATATATGAGTTGGCTTGATTTGGTATGTAAGCAGAAAATGATATAAGATTCTTTTTCTTCGACTATAACATCAATAAGCATTGTAATGTATAAGAAACTATCTCACCTATAGAACCTCAACAGATTTGGTTATCATTTAAAATGACAATATAATATACCTATAAAATATTGAATTGAAAAATTATTTTGATGTAAAAGTATTTCATTGTTAGTTTAATTTTGGCTAATTTTTTAAGCAACAAGATTTATTTTCTTCTAATTATAAAAATCAAAATATACAATGATAATTGTTAGTGAATGTGCAGCATATTCAAATTCTAACAACAAAAAAATTGACATTGATCATTGTGTCATTTTTTCAACATTAGATATATATATATAAGCTGTATTTTTTATCCGTTTATTTTTGTAAAAAGATATATGAGCTTGAATAAGAAAATTATGAACATCAGACATATTTCCATATGTCCCACCCACCATTGGCAACTTTTTTAAATTAGTGAGTTGAAAAAAAAGAAAACAACCCAATTTATAAAACCTTACAACCACATTTTGTACCAGGCCTTGTG